GCCTTTTGAAATCTTCTATTCAACTCTTTAGTATCTTGAATTCTTCCCTGTGCTTTGGCTTCTTTGAGCTCCAGTGCAATTTTCAGAGTCTCTTCTGACATCCATTTTGGTCTTTTCTTCCTCTTCTGTCTTTGCAATGACCGTTTGCACTCTTCCTGGAGGTTACAATATACACAAATAATTCTTTACTTATTAAACTAGTTCTTCCTTTAATGAATTGTACAGTATTTTTAGGAATCTTATGTCTATGGAACAGCCTCTGCTCACTGGATAATGAGGACAACTCACTTGTTTTAAAGTCTGTAGTTTCTTTTTTGTTAGGGGCCAGTGATCCACCCTGTGCCTGTTCTCTGTTATATCAGTATGGCACATATGCTTGGGGAAAACTGCTGTTTCCTAGCACTTTATAAACTCTAACTTTTTTGATTTAACAGAGAGTATGGCTTCTGTCACACATCTTTTTATAATTTTTGTTCTTTACATTTACCTTGGGAATTAAATTACATTTTCTTTCTTACCAGCTTCTGAACTTTTAGATCGCATTATCTATGCAGTTGTTAAAGACCAGTTCATGTGTTTATCTTTGGCATTCTGGACTACCAAAGGTAAACAGGATAGCCAGCTTTATGACTGCCAAATGTAGTCTATTTTAATTTTTTTCTGATTTAGAGATTTTTATCCTTTAAAAATTTTTCAGCTGCTGCTTCTAATATATTTATCTTCATTCTATTACTTTTTTGCTTTCTTCATCTTCTAAATTAAGAGTTTTCCTTTATGTAAGCTTCATTCTTAGATATTTTCCTTTTCTTATTTTACTGAAATGATCAGATTATATGAGCTCAAAACTATTATTACATTAAACTAAAGACAAAAAACAAACAAACAAAAAACAAGACAATCAACAAAAACACTTACAGGCTTTTACCTTGAGACTTAGTATCTTTTGTTTTTCTTTTTCCAAACCATATTTTAAATTGTAAATAATTTCTCCGGAAGAGCATGGTTTGTTTTTACAAACTCTCTTAGGTTCTGCTTTTCTGGGAATATCATGATCTGTCCATATTTGATGGATAATTTTTCTGGGTACAGTATTCTTGGTTGACAGTTGTGTTCTTTGAGTGTTTGATATATGTCCTTCCACTCTCTTCTTGCCTGCATGGTTTCT